CTACACTGTGTGTATCAATAGAAATACATGGCTCTACAGCCTAGGATATCAAGGTACTCCCCTGCTCCTCATTTCTCTTTTCCTCCTCCTTTCTGCAAACTGACTGGAGACTGCACTGACCACTGACAACTTTTTCCTGTGAAGTCTGGATGCTCAGGGAAGAAACACTGAGACAACAAGAGCCAACAGCATTGAAAGCCATAAACTGCTGGAGCAATCATTTTAACAAATACTGTAGTTTACTAGGAATTTTTTTTTCTATTCTAGTGTTCAAATATGTTTAACTAAAAGGCTGGGAGTTTGGTACTATTTTAAGGCAGCAGAGCTTAAAAAGTTTAATTTCATCCTCAGGCAAGATTTACTAAAACTGAAGCACTCAGTATCTGGTGCAGCTGTGCAAGGTAGCCAATCAGCTTCCAACGTCAGCTTGCTCAATGAAGCTTTGACAATGAAACCAGGAAGCTGATTGTTTTCTATGCAGAGCTGCACCAGATTTTGCACTAGCCAGTTTTAGTAAATCTCCAGGTTTAGTATACCTTGGTGTATAGAAGTGTTTAAAGTAGGCCATACACTAGTGGAATTTCATTTGAATTTTTTTATTTTAAAAAAGTTTGTTCAATTTTCTAATCATTAGTGGTGTAAATCAATATTTGTTTTTGGCCACATTGATGAGGAAAATTCATAGGAGCAGAATAGATTTTTTTTTTGTAATTTCTTTTTTTATGGCATTTTGCAGTTAAGGCATAATATCCAGAGAAAAATAAAACAACATAGAAATGTAGAATGATTACAAAAGAAATGGCAGTATACACGTCTAAGAGACCAATGTTCGGGTGAACAAAAATCAATGCTATATAGGACAGAGTAGACAGGAACATATAGAGGACCGCTACATGGTACTATGTGGACCCTAGCAGTAGAAAAATCTACAATAGTGGACAAACTGAAGTCCCTGGGAGGAGAACAGTGCACCTCCACAAGGATTAGCCCTATGAGGAGTCAGAACAAAACAGCAGGCAGGTGAGGCCAGAAGAGAAAAGTCAGGAAAGGCACACAAAAGATGAAAGAGAGGGAGATGCACGGACAAGGGACAAAAAAAAATAACAATAACATACACAGATAAGAGATTTTCCCTCCAGGATCCACTGAGGAGCAAAACCAGGAAACCACATATATGTCCCCTTACCACCATCGGAGAGGAGGAGAGGATACCCGAGTCCCCCCGGAAAACTTTGTGTGGGGGGAGAACCCCAAACCAAAGGCAACCAATCCTCAATCCAAGGGCTCAAGGGTACCAAGAAACCAAGAAATGCACCCCCCTCCCAAGCCAACACCAGATAATAATATGCAGGGGAATGTGACACAATATCAAATAATGGAAAAAAGTAGCAGCAGGATATCAAATAATACCAACAGTGTGACCCACAGATGGCTGTGGGGAGGGTCACACCCCTCTCCCCCCTCCGGAGGCATCCCCCCACCAAAAGGTGAGGGGGAGGCCAAACAAACAAACACCCCCCACACGGCCCGGAGAGGAAATATCGGCAAAATAGCAAACTAACAGAACCAGGCCAGCAGGGCAAGGAGGGGAGAAGGGAGGGCCCCCAAAGGGAGGGCCCCCAAAGGGAGGGCCCCCACCCCCACCCAAACCGAACAACAACAAAACTCCAGATGTCATTAAGAAACTTAGGTTACAGTAGCAAGCCTTCCAACACCTGGAGCCATCAAAAACAAAGGTAGCCACCCTAGATGCAAAAATCAAGCATCCAAGTCAAAACAAAAATGTAGAAAAGAGAGTTGCCCCACATTTAGGAGACAAGGGAGGAGGGAAGCACAAAACCTTCTCCGTTATCCCCTAACAGACCCTGACACAATGAGTCCAAGACTATAACAAGCGAAAGAGTCAATCAATCTTTGGCAGCAGCAGGTATAGGCCTAGGGGGTCTCTTCTTGGCAGAGTCTTGGTTTGATGCTCTGGACCGGGGCCTCCGGAGCCTCTGTGGCCATGGAAATGAAGCAGGTGAAAGCACGGTCCAAGCAATGCGTGATATTTCTTCCTGTCAGGGAACACAGACTTCAGGTATAGCGTGTAAAACAATATAATTTATTAAGGGCAACATAAACGCAGTGCAACAAACCAAACCCAAAACTAACACAAATATGTACAACAAGGTGCAACAAACCCAAACCTTAACTGATATATTTTATAAATATGGAGAACAAACGTAGTCAGGCGGGCCAGGTCGGTAGCTAACGGGCAGACAAGGTACAAGGAGTAGGCAGAAGATTGGTCAGGAGTAGCCGAGGTCGGTGAAGGCAGAGTTCAAGCAAAGTCAGGATCAGGCAGGAAGCAGACAGGATGCAGGTACAGGGGCTCATGGGAACAATACACCAAGGCCCTGACTGCAGGCCTGGCCATTCCTTAAATACACCTCCTGCAATCAACCTTAGGTGATGGCTTGATTGCAGGAGTGAGCTTCTGGCTGCCGAGAGCACCCGCTGGCCAGCCCTGGTACTGCAGCCCACAAGGCAGGTGAGTCCCACCACCATTGGCGAGTCCATTCCTGACAGTACCCCCCCCCCCCTCGAGCTGCGGCCTCAGGATGCTCCAAACAGTCCATAATGGCACATCGGGCTGGGCAGCGGGCAGAGGCACATCGGGCTGGGCAGCTGGGCAGCGGCACATCGGGCTGGGCAGCTGGGCAGTGGCACATCGGGCTGGGCAGCAAGCAGAAGCACATCGGGCTGGGCAGCAGGCAGAGGCACATCAGGCTGGGCAGCAGGTAGAGGCACATCAGTGGAGCAGCGGGCACCGGGCCATCAGGCGGAGCAGCGGGCACCGGGCCATCAGGCAGAGCAGCGGGCACCGGGCCATCAGGCGGAGCAGCGGGCACCGGGCCATCAGGTGGAGCAGCGGGCACTGGGCGAGGCAGCGGGCATCGGGCCATCAGGCGGAGCAGCAGGCACCTGGCCATCAGGCAGAGCAGCGGGCACCGGGCCATCAGGCGGAGCAGCGGGCACTGGGCCATCAGGTGGAGCAGCGGGCACCGGGCGAGGCAGCGGGCACCGGGCCATCAGGCAGAGCAGTGGGCACCTGGCCATCAGGCGGAGCAGTGGGCATCGGGCCATCAGGCGAGGCAGCGGGCCATCAGGCGAGGCAGCGGGCACCGAGGCATCAAGCTCGACAGCGGGCACCGAGTCATCTGGCATGACAGCGGGCACCGAGTCATCTGGCACGACAGTGGGCACCGAGTCATCTGGCACGACAGCGGGTTCCGGGTCACCAAGCTTGACAGTGGTCACCGAGTCATCTGGCGTGACAGCGGGCACCGGTCACCAAGCTCGACAGCGGGCACCAAGTCACCAAGCTCGACAGCGGGCACCGAGTCATCTGGCACGACAGCGGGCACTGAGTCATCTGGCACGACAGCAGCAGGCACCAAGTCTTCTGGCAGAATAGCTGGCACCAAGCCATCTGGCAGAATAGCAGGCACCGAGTCACCAAGCTTGTCACCAATCTGGCACGACAGCGGGCACCACGTCATCTGGCACGACAGCGGGCACCGAGTCACCAAGCTCGACAGCGGGCACCGAGTCATCTGGCATGACAGCAGGCACCGAGTCACCAAGCTCGACAGCGGGCACCGAGTCATCTGGCACGACAGCGGGCACCGAGTCATTTGGCAGAATAGCGGGCACCGAGTCATCTGGCAGAATAGCGGGCACCGGGTCACCAAGCTCGGCAGCGGGCACCGAGTCATCAGGCACGACAGCGGGCACCGAGTCACCAAGCTCAACAGCGGGCACCGAGTCATCTGGCACGACAGCGGGCACCGAGTCACCAAGCTCGACAGCGGGTACCGAGTCACCAGGCATGACAGCGGGCACCGAGTAATCTGGCACAACAGCGGGCACCGAGTCATCTGCCACGACAGCGGGCACCAAGTCATTTGGAACGACAGCGGGCACCGAGTCATCTGGCAGAATAGCGGGCACCGGGTCACCAAACTCGTCAGCGGGCACCAAGTCACCAAGCTCGACAGCGGGCACCGAGTCATCTGGCAGAATAGCGGGCACTGGGTCACCAAGCTCAACGAGTCATCTGGCACGACAGTGGGCACCAAGTCACCAAGCTCGACAGCGGGCACCGAGTCATCTGGCACGAGAGCTGGCACCGAGTCATCTGGCACGACAGCGGGCACCAAGTCATTTGGCAGAATAGCGGGCACCGAGTCATCTGGCACAACAGCGGGCACCGAGTCATTTGGCAGAATAACGGGCACCGGGTCACCAAGCTCGACAGCGGGCACCGAGTCATCTGGCACGACAGCGGGCACCGAGTCACCAAACTCGACAGCAGGCACCGAGTCATCTGGCACGACAGCAGGCACCGGGTCATCAGATAGGACAGACAAGACAGCGGGCACCGAGTCATCTGGCAGAATAGCGGGCACCGGTCACCAAGCTCGGCAGCGGGCACTGAGTCATCAGGCACGACAGCGGGCACCGAGTCACCAAGCTCGACAGCGGGTACCGAGTCACCAGGCATGACAGCGGGCACCGAGTAATCTGGCACAACAGCGGGCACCGAGTCATTTGGCACGACAGCGGGCACCGAGTCATCTGGCAGAATAGCAGGCACCGGGTCACCAAACTCGTCAGCGGGCACCGAGTCACCAAGCTCGACAGCGGGCACCGAGTCATCTGGCAGAATAGCGGGCACTGGGTCACCAAGCTCAACAGCGGGCACCGAGTCATCTGGCACGACAGTGGGCACCGAGTCACCAAGCTCGACTGCGGGCACCGAGTCATCTGACACGAGAGCTGGCACCGAGTCATCTGGCACGACAGCGGGCACCAAGTCATTTGGCAGAATAGCGGGCACCGAGTCATCTGGCACAACAGCGGGCACCGAGTCATTTGGCAGAATAACGGGCACCGGGTCACCAAGCTCGACAGCGGGCACCGAGTCATCTGGCACGACAGCGGGCACCGAGTCACCAAACTCGACAGCAGGCACTGAGTCACCAAGCTCGACAGCGGGCACCGAGTCATCTGGCACGACAGCAGGCACCGGGTCATCAGATAGGACAGACAAGACAGCGTGCACTGGGTCATCACATAGGACAGACAAGACAGCGGGCACTGGGGCGTCAGGCTGGACCACGGGCACCAGGGCGTCAGGCTGGACTGAAGGCACCGGGGCATCAGGCTGGACCGCGGGCACTGAGTCACCAAGCTCGGCAGCGGGCACCGAGTCACCTGGCACGACAGCGGGCACCAAGTCATTTGGAAGAATAGCGAGCACCGAGTCATCTGGCACGACAGCGGGCACCGAATTATTTGGCAGAATAGCGGGCACCGGGTCACCAAGCTCGACAGCGGGCACCGAGTCATCTGGCACGACAGCGGGCACTGAGTCACCAAGCTCGACAGCGGGCACTGAGTCATCTGGCATGACAGCGGGCACCGAGTCATCTGGCATGACAGCGGGCACCAGGTCATCTGGCACGACAGCGGGCGCCGGGTCATCAGATAGGACAGACAAGACAGCAGGCACCAGGGCGTCAGGCTGGACCGCGGGCACTGGGGCATCAGGCTGGATCAAGTCATCAGGCTGCATTGTGTCATCCGGCTGGATCGGGTCATCAGGCTGGATCGGGTCATCAGGATGGATCGGGTCATTCGGCTGGATCGGGTCATCAGGCTGGATCGGGTCATCCAGCCAGGTAGGATCATCAGGCTGGGTAGGATCATCAGGCTGGGTAGGATCATCAGGCCGGGTAGGGTCATCAGGCTGGTTAGGATCATCAGGCTGGGTAGCGTACACTGGGTCATCAGGCATCTGGGCATCAGACTGAACAGAGGGCACCGGGGCACCAGGCTGGATAACAGAAGGCGGGTTCTCAGACAGCAGGCTGACCGGTTTGGATACTGGCAGGATGGTACTGGTTGGAAAGAATTTTCACTTCTTCTTGGTTTTAGTTACTGGAGCACTGTAAGTAAACTCAGGTCTGTAAACGGAGGGAGTAGCTTCTACAGATGACTTCTTTACAGGGTTAAAGGCAGGATAGGTGCAGCGAATGGGAACAGGGGACTGACATGTGGTAGATAGCAGGATATACTGGGCTGTCACTGGGGGTGCTGTGGGAAATGGAGGAGATGAGCTTTGAGCAGAGGAATGATTAGAAGCAGGACTGTGTTGTTGAAAGCTGACTGAGGCTGGGTGTAACAAATCTGACCATGACTGTAGTACTGGTTGAACAAAGCTCAGCTTACACAAAGCCTATCTGACCAAAGACTGTATACAATCCACAAGCACATGTGATGGACAAGCTGAATAATGCTCCAAGAAGCAATCCGCATCATCCTCCAATAACCATACCAGTGACTCTACTTGGTCTGCACTAAATGGCGGCAAAAAGTCACCCCTGCTTTCAGGGGTACTAGATGAAGCCAACTCTGCAAAAGCCTGAATCAATGGTTGCACCTCAGAGAACTCTGTGCCCTGATCTGCTAGGAAATGAGTGATCCGTATGCATTCTAGCAGCTGATCCCTGGCATACTCCTTCAGAGTCTGATAGGCATAATCTCTGTCAACTAAGACTAGCAGAGACAAATACACAACCTCCTCAGGATGCATCCTTCCCAACAACAAGCCAATATGGCTTCCCTGTGCAGCCACTTCTGGTCAGGACTGGCCTTGGTGTAATGTCAGGGTTCCGGGTATGACCAGAGGTGTGTGGACCGACACAGGGAAACACTGACTTCAGGTATAGCGTGTAAAACAATATAATTTATTAAGGGCAAAACAAACATAAACGCAGTGCAACAAACCAAACCCAAAACTAACACAAATACGTACAACAAGGTGCAACAAACCCAAACCTTAACTGATATATATATAAATATGGAGAACAAACACCAAGGCCCTGACTGTAGGCCTGGCCATTCCTTAAATACACCTCCTGCAATCAGCCTCAGGTGATGGCTTGATTGCAGGAGTGAGCTTCTGGCTGCCGATAGCACCCGCTGGCCAGCCCTGGTACTGCAGACCACAAGGCAGGTGAGTGCCACCACCATTGGCGAGTCCATTCTTGACACTTCCTTTATCTTGTGAAAATGAACCCGGCAGAGAACGTCTCGGGGAGGCAAAAGAGAGGTATTAGCTCTAGAAGATGTAGAAGACTGGCGGGGTCCCAGGACTCGGTGTACCCGATCAAGCTCCAGCACAGCCGTGGGGGGTTTTCCAAGTAGTTAGTTGAGAATGGCAGTTACAGTAGCATGTAGATTGGCCTCAGGGATCCTCCAAAGCCGGAGGTTACTGCGGCGATTATGGTTTTCCCCATCATCCAAATGAAGATGGACATCTATGAGATGGCGTCTGAAGGCCTGTTGGTCAGCCTCAATAGCAGATAATCTAGCTTCAGTAGTGATGGAGGAACCCTCCAAAGCAGATACCCGCTCCTCCACTGTATCAACATGTTGGCGTAGGTCATGTAATTCCCAGGTGAGGGCATTAACAATGGAGGTAGCCATGGCCTGCAAGACTTGTTTGGTGGGAAAGTCCATGAGGTCCTGGATAGAACCTGCCATAGGCCTCCATACTTCCTCCTCCCAGTCAGATGGTGGTGGTGAGTCCTCCGGGGAAAGGGCGGGAGAGGAGATAGGGGAAGATGGCCCAGTGGGAGCCAGAGCCCCCACCCCAGGGGAAACAATGCCCAACTAGCACAGCTAGGCCGCGGCAGCTCCATCTTTGGGGAGGCAGCGGGAGAGGAGAGTTAGTGTGGGAGGAGAAAGTAATGGGTGATCTCACCCTCTCGTGTGGTCCCAGTTGACTGTAGAAGTCTCCGGACCCCGAGCATGTGAAGGTGGCTGTACAGTGCAGCTGAAAAAGTGTTCAGGGAGAGTGTCCTCATGCCGCCATCGTCAAGCCACGCCCATAGAATTTTTTTTTAAAGAATGAATTTCTAACAGTAAATGTTCTATTTGTTTGTCCATTCATTCCAAATTTGAAAGTTAAAGTATAACTAAAGGCTAACTTATTTTTAGTTTTGAATAGGGTGGAGAGGGCTTAGAACAGCTCCCAGTTTTGGTTGTGTCCCTGTTCAGGGAGGTTTATACAGTCTTTTTGTCATGTTTACCATCTTCTCCAAAAGTGAAAAGTTTGGGTTGTGCCCAGAACAGTAATAGAGGGGAAATATTCCAATGGGGATCCTGGCTTTGCTGACCCTGGTGACAACCTGAGATTTCTTCATTGTGTAGTGATTTCCTCTCACTTCCTCTTTTTGCAATGGGAAAGGAAGTGAAGAGAATTGTCCCAAATGGGTCGCAGGTGGTAAAAAAAAAAAAACTTGACAGATTTATTATCCACCCCTACTCTATCAAAAATTTTAAAAAGTTTTGCGTTTAGTTCTGCTTTAAAAGCAACAAAAATTTGAAGTACATTCAAACATTTGTCAAGTCATTGAATGTACTGAGACTTTTTTTACAAATTGTTGTACAAATGTCCAGACGAACATTCACTGGAAAATCTGAAAATGTATTGGCAGTACATCATTTTGCCTCATAATGCATTGTTTCAGTAAATGTCAGAGGTGTGCTTGCTCAGTGAAAGTGGGAGACATGCCACCACAAAAAAAAGTGTGAAGCATTAAACCAACCACTAAATCCAAAGATATATTCACTATTTATTTACATACAAAAGAGGAAGAAGGAGAGACCAATCCTTAGTAGAAAAAAGTTCACAAAAAATATATCAATCTTGCTCGCTACCTAGAACCATTCTGGCGCACACTTTCAATGTTTTCCATATAAACTGTTTTGCAAACTAACTGAAACCACCATAGTGTCAGTTGAAAGACAATTTATTGTGTTTTGCCCTTTGCGATATGCTGAACGTGATATGTGGATAACAAGCTTCCAAGTTTCAGAGTAGAGAGGGCCGTCATAATGGAGCCACCAGTTGTCTCCAAAGAACCTTGTCAAGTATCAATTATAAGATGAAGAATTTTTTGGCAACTTTTTCATCTAAGGATAACAATGATGTGATTATGGATTTTGGATATGGATGTTGAAAAGACTGAATGAAAATAGAAATAGAAAGACTAATGACAGTATTTTTACTTATGACAATCCCACGGTGAAAGTGTGTTGGTTATAGTGAGATCTTAATTGTCCTTGATCGACAGGAATAGAAGGTAATGACTATTCAGAAGGAAAATCTATATTAGCAACTGGAAGACAATATTTTAAAAGCATATTACTTTCTTGTATAATCTAAGTTTCTAATTATGTAATGTATACAGTTTTTGTGCAGTACATTAGGCTGGTATTTATATTGAAGGTTAAATTCCTGTGACAGATATAATAAAGCATGGCTAAATTAGCTGCAACCAGAAGTGCTGAGAGGCAGCATGGACCCCAGGGAAGAAATAATTTTTTGTCCCCCATTCCTTCAAATAATTCCACTTTTGGACAACAATCCATCTAAAATTGTATGTGTCAGACATAATTTTGTGAAAGTCTGTGGATAGTTCTTTATAAGCAGACTATTCAGGAGACCTAAGCCTCAAGCTGGCCACACACTGAATTAATTTTGGCCAGTTCTAACGAACTGGCCGAAGTTAGAGATGTGCATGATGGAAACATTTTTGGATTGATTTGTTAAGTAAATTATTTTGTTTTGTCATGTTTGTTATGTAAGAATGATACGTTTTTGGAATTCGTTTAGTACAGTACGATGCAAAAGTCAAGGCCAGTGCTAGTCTATTTTGCACCCTGGGCAAGACCAGCTACTTGTGCCCCCCCCCCCCCCCCCCAAAAAAAAAAAGAATAAATAAAAGATTTTAAAAACAGTAGAAAATATTAAATTAACAAACCATAAAACTAAAATTTATTTTACATTGCAAAAATACTCTATATTGCCATAAGTATTGGGATGACTGCACTTACACACACATGAACTTAGTCCATAGGGTATTGAGTTGGCCCACCCTTTGCAGCTATAACAGCTTCAACTCTTCTGGGAAGGCTGTCCACAAAGTTTAGGAGTGTGTCTATGGGAATGTTTGTGAAGTCAGGCACTGATGTCAGACTAGAAGGCATGGCTAGCAGTCTAATTCATCCCAAAGGTGTTCTATCTGGTTGAGTTCAGGGTTCTGTGCAGGTATCAAGCGTCTGTGGTAGTGAGCCCTTGTAGATCACCAACTCGGGCTTCCCCAGGGCGCAGAGTCTAAGCCCCAGCCTGCTTCTTCACCAGGGCCCATGATGGTGGGGATGGACTTGCAGCAAGCTGTAACCAGGTCGTGGCCCCCAGGTACGCCCAGCTGATGATGCGGAGACCGCTCGCATGAGCAGAGTTCTATAGCAGGAGACAACAGGAAATCTGGTAGACAAGCCAAGGTCAAGACAGGTGAAAAACAAGCACAGTCGGTGGACAAAGCCAGAACTGGTACACGGGTAGTCAGACACAGCATACAGGATACAGGAGTAACAACAAACGGGAGCTCAGAGTACTAAGAAGCTGCTCCGAAAAAGTGGGCTAGACTGAGCATGTCTTATATAGACAAGCAAACTAGGAGGTGGCCCAGGAAGTGATGGAAGGGAAGGAAATAAAAACCAAGAGAATAGCAGGCGCTGCCTGTAGGTGAGCACAACCAAGCCACACATGTAAAAGGAATCAGGCTAAGAAAAACACTGCAGCAAGGAGGCAAGCATACCCAAACAAGAAACTGCAGGCTAACTTGTGACAGCAGGCCAGTCAAGTTCCATCCATCTGTGGCTGGCAGTGGCAGGATGACAGTTGCAGTGAGTAGAGGATGATGGATCTACACTCATGGGATGGGGGCAATGGGGGGAGATAAAATG